ACATTTCAAAGTTTTAATTATAAAAAAGTGTTTGAGTACTGAGGTTATAGTGTATGTCTATGTAGTCCCCACTCAGCCGTGTATTGCAGGAAAGAAAACTGGGGTACGTTAAGGGGAGATTACTGTATATAACGTTACGTCTGGTGTCGTACCGCTATATCCCCCACCCATTCGTTTGCATTCATTAAGCTCTCTCTCCCACCGCGCGTTTCCCCCCAATACCTGCTGACCGATCGTCACGTAATGCGTGAATGATTGAGTGAATCACATCTGTCATCACGCGTGACATCTAATGAGTGAAATGGTCTCTCGATTTTTGTATTGGCAGTCAATGCTTGCCATTCAATGTCCACTCCATTACTCCGTTTAGGCCTTTAATTACGTTCGCTATTCATTTGTATTGAATTTATATTTAATATAAGTTATAAACTCTTTATAAGTTAAATAACACAATAATTATATCGGATTTTAAAAGTATAATAATTAAGCAATTTTTGCACTAAAATTAAAAGAAAGTTTAAAAGGATTTAAAGGGCTTGAGATAAGTGGGGGGGGGGGCAGTTGTCTAATAGATATACTTATGGGTTGCTATGGATTGCCCCCGGAGTTGGTGGGCGTGTGTGTACTGAACGTAACGTAATTTATGAATGTATCAAATATTTACAAAAACTGAATTACAAAAACAAATGCAATGCAAAAGTGTTGCGAAAAAAAATTAATTGTGAATTAAATTAAAACTAATTATGTATTTAAACCCAATTTAATGGCAAACAACTAATCGATGGTTTAATTAACAGCTGTTTCTGTGAAGTGAATGTGTTTTTTTCTATGAGTAAAAGTCTGGTATTGTTTTGTAAACACATTTTTCAATTGATTTTGTAATTGAAATTCAATTGTGAAAATCAATTGGAAATTATTTTTTATCATTAATTTCTATAAACAATACTAATAGTGACAGAGAGTGTGTGTCATGTCTTTCCTAACCTATAATCGCGGCAATTGTTGCCATTGTTTACAATCATTGTCTAAATTAATCATATTTATAGCGTTGATCTCATTGTGTAAGTAATTGTCATAACATTTGCCAAACAATTTAATTTAATCCACTTTTTTGTATGTCTTTGTATTGAACAGCAAATGGCGATCGCATTAAACAAAAAATTTATAAACCAATTGAAAGCAATTACTTCTGCTTTCGACGACTCAATGCCACGCATCAGATCGGATGCCAATGTATGCCGTGAAACGGATTCCGTGGTTATCATCTCTTGTAATGTCTTATAATTGTCTTTACATTCCTCTCACGTGTAGCCAAAGAGGGCGGAAACGTTGGCGCCGTATATGTGATCAACAACGAGACAGACATGGATCACGTGCTCAATACCGGCCGACACTATCCTTATATACCTGTGATTACACCAAAAGATTTCAATTTGTAATTAAATCACTTGTGTTTTGTTGATTGTCTTGTTTCAAGTCTAACACTAACTGTTGCGTCCATTTCAGAGAGACATTGAAGCGATTCAAGTCTTCGGATCGGATTACAGGCGTTTTAGTTCTGGACATTAAGGGCGACGAGAGAAAGGCGCTGAAGATAGAGGGCTTATCACCGGACAAGACCTGTCCCAACGATGGCTTCGGTCTCTACACGGGTGACAAAACTCACGACCACTGCGGACAACAAGAGTGGAATTTGGCCGAAGGGCTGACCGAACGGCACAACGACGGCCTTATGTTCAACGACTGGCCTTTTCCTATATTTTTGATTAAAAACGAGACAAATATCGCCCAAATCAGAGATGTAAGCATTGAATGTTATAATTAACACATACTGTAACTCAACACTTGCCGGATAGACATTCCTCGCAATTATTACATGCATTTGTTTGTAACTTTTAATTGTTATTTTGTTTGTTATAACAAATGTCTAGTGTTTTAAACGCTTTGGCGGACCCAACTATCCCTTGTGTGGCGTCCAATTGGAGGCGCCAATGAATGCGGCCAAGGATTCTGTCTCTTGCGTTCGCCGGACAGCGCTTCAGAGGAGCTCTTATTCTTTGAGTCAAAGTATGTGTTGTTTTTGTATTTAATTCAACAAATTGTTGCGATATTAACAGCGATATGATTGATGTGTTTGATAGCGTTTTTCTGCGACCCTTTGGGCGGACACAACATATTCAGTACACTCTTGTATACCTCGAAAACCGACAAAATAGCCGATAATTCGGTGATTGTATTGGCGGCCCGTTTGGACTCGTTCTCGATGTTTGACAACGTGTCTCCCGGCGCCGACTCCGCGCTCACATCACTGGTGACCCTTCTGGCCGTCGCGAAGACACTGAATGAATACAGAAATGATTTGCAACAGAAGGCAAACAATCGCAATGTTTTGTACGCTCTCTTTGATGGCGAGGCGTTTGACTACATCGGCTCCAGTCGTACCGTATATGACATGAATAATGATCGGTTTCCTGTGGACCCGAACTCCGAGAAAGATTTGGCTCAACTCAAGACCAAACATATCTCACACTTCATTGAATTGAATCAATTGGCAACACATGGAAACGATGCCATGCTTTATATTCATAAAAATCTTAAGTCTAACGTTAAGACAAAACAATTAGTGGATAAACTCATACAATACGGCACTCAAGTGACCGAAATTGAAGACAACAGACCACTACCGCCGGCGTCGTTGCAGGTGTTCCTGAAGGATAGCCAAGAGATAGGAGGAGTGGTGATCGCGAACCACAAGAAGGAATACACCAATAAATACTATAACAGTTTATACGACGACAGCGTAAACGTCAACATAAATGATACCAAATTAGCCCAAAGACTGACTACCATTGCCACCGCTGTCTCCAAAACCATTTACGAGTTGATAACTCAAGAAACCACTAAAGATATTACAGTTAACCAGACGTTTGTTGAATCGCTAATCAATTGTTATATGAATAACTCTGTCTGTGATCTATTCAAATACGTGTCGGAGCCCACAGCCCAACGACTAAACGGTACGCGCTTTTGCTTTGCAACGAAGTTATTTTTGAATGACAATTATTGTTATCTAATGTTAGACTATATGGATCCGTTGCCCACATATGTCGGTGTATTTGGTTCGTCCACTATGTCCTCCATCTCCCGCGCGTACACTATGTTATTGCTGTCGCGATATACCGGCGAAGAGCACAGCGACAAGACCAAGGATGAGTGCACTGATCTCAATAAAAAGAGCATGGTTTGTTACCACCAGTCTCTCTCTCTCTCTCTCATATCTAATGTATGGTTCAATACTCCCATTAAATGAATGTCTCTCTT